ATGAGTTGGCTCTTCACATTCTGAGGCCAAAGTATTGTGGCTTCACCCTCAACATCAGTACTTCCAAGGAATATTTAGGATTGATTTCCTTTAGAATTGAGTGATATGATGTCCTTGCAGTCCAAGGGACTCTCAAGAGTCTTCTCCAACACCATAGTTAAAAAGCATCAGTTTTTCGGTGCTCAGCTTTCTTCAAAGCCCAACTCTCACATCCATACATGACCACTGGAAAAACCATAGCCTTGACCAGATGGACCTTTTTGTGCAAAGTAGTGTCTCTGCTTTTTAATATGCTGTCTAGCTTGGTCATAACTTTCCTTTCAAGGAGTAAGCGTCTTTTAATTTCATTGCTGCAATCACCATCTGCAGTGATTTTTGAGCCCAGAAAAATAAAGTCAGCCACTGCTTCCATTGTTTCCCCATCTACTGGACATGAAGTGATGGGGCCAGATGCCATGATCTTTGTTTTCTGAATGTTGAGCTTTAAGCCAAGTTTTCCACTCTCCTCTTTCACTTTCATCAAGAGGCTTTTTAGATCCTCTTCACTTTCTGCCATAAGGGTGGTGTCATCTGCATATCTGTGGTTATTGATATTTCTCCCAGCAATCTTGATTCCAGCTTGTGCTTCTTCCAGCCCAGTGTTTCTCATGATGTACTCTGCAGATAAGATAAATAAGCAGGGTGACAATATACAGCCTTGACATACTCCTTTTCCTATTGGGAACCAGTCTGTTGTTCCATGTCCAGTTCTAACTGTTGCATCCTGACCTGCATACAGGTTTCTCAAGAGGCAAGTCAGGTGGTCTGGTATTCCCATCTCTTTCAGAATTTTCCACAGTTTATTGTGATCCACACAGTCAAAGGCTTTGGCATAGTCAATAAAGCAGAAATAGATGTTTTTCTGGAACTCTCTTTCTTTTTTGATGATCAGGCAGATGTTGCCAATTTGATCTCTGGTTCCTATGCCTTTTCTAATACCAGCTTGAACATCTGGAAGTTCATGGTTCACATATTGCTGAAGCCTGGCTTGGAGAATATTAAGTATTGCTTTACTAGTGTGTGAGATGAGTGCAATTGGAAAAACATACTTGTTCCAAATAGGAAAACGAGTACATCAAGGCTGTATGTTGTCACCCTGCTTATTAAACTTATATGCAGAGTACATCATGAGAGATGCTGGGATGGAAGAATAACAAGCTGGAATCAAAATTTCTGGGAGAAATATCAATAACCTCACATATGCAGATGACACCACTCTTATGGCAGAAAGTGAGGAGGAACTAAAAAGCCTACTGATGAATGTGAAAGAGGAAGTGAAAAAGTTGGCTTAAAGCTTAACATTCAGAAAACGAAGATCATGGCATCTGGTCCCATCACTTCATGGTCAATAGATGGGGAGACATTGGAAACAGTGTCAGACTTTATTGCTTTGGGGCTCAAAAATCACTGCAGATAGTGAATGCAGCCATGAAATTAAAACACACTTAGTCCTTTGAAGGAAAGTTATGACCAAGCTAGACATCATATTAAAAAGCAGAGACATTACTTTGCCAACAAAGGTCTGTCTAGTCAAGGCTATGGTTTTCCCAGTGGTCATGTATGAATGTGACAGCTGGGCTGTGAAGAAAGCTGAGTGCTGAAAAACTGATGCTTTTGAACTGTGGTGTTGGAGAAGACTCTTGAGAGTCCCTTGGACTGCAAGGAGATCCAACCAGTCCATCCTGAAGGAGATCAGTCCTGGGTGTTCATTGGAAGGACTGATGTTGAAGCTGAAACTCCAAAACTTTGGCCACCTCATGCAAAGAGTTGACTCATTTGAAGATATCCTGATGCTTGGAAAGATTGAGGGCAGAAGGAGAAGGGGACGACAGAGGATGAGATGACTGTATGGCATCACCGTCTCGATGGACGTGAGTTTGTGTAAACTCCGGGAGTTGGTAATGGACAGGGAGGCCTGGCTTGTTGCAATTCATGGGGTCACAAAGAGTTGGACGCTACTGAGCGACTGAACTGAACTATTGCAATTAAATTAAAATATACTTTGATTCTTGATGAGCCTTTTAACCCTTCATTACTTCTTATTAGAACTTTGTCTACTCTTGCATTTTATGTTTTGAAATTAAATTTCAGTAAGTTAGTCTAACAAAAACTGAACTTATTTGGTATTTTTAGTAAGTTTTTACTTAGAAAGTACTTGTGAGTTTTGTCCGCAACCTGGGTACATCTTTCCACTTAATAAGTCTTCTTTTATGCTCATATTGATCTAGAATATTTCTCTGTAACTCTAGTTATTTTCATTTTTTTCTGATATTAATGAATAGATGCTGGGAAAGACTGAAGTTAGGAGTGAGAGGGTAACAGGCAGGAAGGCCAGGGGTCTCCAAACAGAGGAAATAGGCTGCAAGTGCCAGACATTGTTTCTTTTTGCTGTGTTAAAAAAAAATTCTTTTCCATTTTTTATTTGATGTTTCCAAATATAAAAAAAGTCAAGATTCTTACACCAATTATCTCAAATGAGACCATGCAAAGCAAAGTGTATACAACAATCACTTCCCCTTCAGTTCTGTGTGATTGACAGAAAATTGAATGGCATATGCCTGGTTGAAAAATTTCACCACTTTACAAAAAAAAAAAAAAAACAAACAAACCACCAACAACCCAGCAACAAACATGCAAGCCAGTTGCTACTTTGTGTCTACAAATTACTTTATAAACTTTTTAAATTGGGAGGCACACTGAACATTTTAGCTGCCCAAATTTATCCTGCTGCCCCACAGAAAGCACAGGCGACAGTCCCAACACTCTGTAAGCTTCGGAGTGTTGAGATAGTAGACACTATTTGTTATCTACAGTAGGTTCAGCTCTTGAGTCTGCCGAAGTCGGCTTTTTCTCTTAACAAATAAATCTCTTTAGGGCCTTTCCTCTAGGAAATTTTGCTAGGCTGGGTTCCAAAAGAATAGTGAAGTGTGAAATTTAAAGTGTGACAACTGAAGTATTTTGATGCATTATACAAATTTTTCCTAGTTGCACAGACTAAAGACAGGTGGTATGCTAAACAGCACTGAAGAAAATCCTGACCCAATGGTACTACTTAGTCCAAATGTTTCTGACCAAAGAAAATTATACAACAATATTTATAAGGCTCACTTTTAAGAAATGGCTGACATTAATACTGTACATATTTTACATGTCAAATACATAGTCCAAGAGTTTATAAAATAAGTTCATGCATTATTACTTCTAATAATATCATATACAAGATACCCAGCCCCCCACCCCCAGTGCTTCTGACATTTCAGGTGGACACAAGTCTTATATACAAAAACAATCCAGTTCTCTCTGCTGTGTTAAGTATATAATTTAAAGAAATTTCAGAGATTACTGAGAAAAAACTACAAAGTGTCAATCTGTGGGATTTAAAATGTTTCCTTAAAAAAAAAAAAAACCACCCAGAATACATAACCTCTGTACAAAGAAAAATATAAAAATTCTGGATAATCATGTATGATCACATTACATAATTTAGGATGAAATGTCATTGGTTTTTTTACTTTACTCATTCCTTTGACAGCATTCATTTGTGAATTTATATTTAGTTCAGCTGCATTTATGGCACAAGATCTCATTTTCAAAACAGTGGCACCAATTTTCCTTAAGTGTAACAGCATTCTATTTTTAGCAGCAATTATGTTTTTAAAGGTTGACAATTTAGAGAACAAATGTGGAACTATGCTTACTTTCTACTTTATAGTCACCAGTTATGATGTTTACAAAAAGTTAATGTCTATATATGGAATCATCTTTCACTTTGCCCCACCTCATTTCTCACTTGGTCAGCAAAGTACAGACAAGGTATTCATGTGTTTCTGTTAGATGGGATTCTTGGACTTAAGTGAATATAAAGACAAGTGTAAGACAAATTCTTAGTCCAGGTATGTTCCAGAGCCCCAGTATTTAGTTAAATAAGACCTACTGACCAGCTATAAAAGATGAGATGTCCTAAGGTGCCTTAACAATCTAGGTCTGTGACAGCTGAACAAGAAGGCCATTTCACTCAACTGTGATGCAGTCAGCACCGACTGGCCTTCACCAGCAAGTTTAACTGATATCATTAAATTAGAAAACAAAGTGTTTTAAAAATTAGTTTACACTGAGGGATGTATAGTTCTCATGTATTCCGTGTGGAGATTATAGATAAAGGGAACTGGCCTTGGAGCATGTTAACTCAAATTCCAGGAGTACGGTTTTCATGATAAGATGTTATCTACTACATGCAATTTGCATATAGTACCTGCCTAACAATCACCAGCTCTACAGAGTTAAGCTTTGTCTTAAAGTGACTGTTGAGTCCCTTTACCGGAATTGGCCGTATGGCTAACTAGTGATGTAATACCACTTGTGAAAATCGAGACAGGTTGACAAATTCCTGAAAATACGGTCATATAGAAAGAAACGGTCCAAATCTGGGATCTATGAGTTAAAATTGTGATCCTATGAAACAAGTTTTTGGGTTGATGGACTGCTTTAATATCAAGAATTATTGTCATAAATTCCCACAACAGAAGGATTTGTTGAATATGTGAAAATGATCTTTTCGTGTGTGTGCCTTGTGAATGAGAAAACAATTTGAGGGGGGGAAATACACCCACAAGTAAGTTGATGTGACAAAACCCACAGACTGACAGCAAATGGACAAAACACTGAAAAACAAAATGCTGTGAAAATGCCAACCAAAATAACAAGGTGGGTGGGCTGGAGTAGGGAGGGTACAGTTAAGGCATCTAAAAAAAATTCCACATGGCTTTGGCTTATTAAAATATTTTACACTATCTTTTTTTTTAACAGGATTTGAAAGCATCTGAAAAACATGCAAATTGTTTGAAAATCCTGCATGGCAAATTCAGACAGTTTGCAAGCGTCATTCAGATGTTTGTCAAGGATAATAAAGAAGCCTCTGCCCACAAGACTGCACAAGGTGGAAGAGGTCTTTCCAATTCTCTCTATCTTACACTAGACGGCAGCCCAGAGGTCTGTGCAGCAGTTACAAACAAGGTGTTACTGTCTGGAAGGGACGGGACTGTAGAATTTCCATTGGTGGGAGAACAACCCAGCTTTAGTTTTTCCAGATACTCTGCATGTACAGGCTTATGGCACTGGAGAACTTTGATGGCATCTTCTACTTTGAACCACTCTCTCTTCCTTCCTATATTAACAGAATCTTCCCAGTCTTCTAATATTTCAGTGACAGTAAGAACATAAACGTATGTTCTGTGCTTTCGGTCTTGGTTCTGCTCAAATATTCCCAGGAGTCTGCCCAATTTTCCTTTTACTCCAGCCTCTTCATAAACCTCCCTCACCGCAGCGCTATCAGGCTCTTCTTCAGGCTCCATGCCTCCTCCTGGGACAATCCACTGGTCTGGATACCAACTGGGGCTCACCAACAGCACCTCGTCCTCCTGCTCGCTCCGGAAGCAGAGGCACGCCGCCCGCTTCTTGAAGCCCTCGCGGTCATAGGTCCGCGTCTGGTTGGGCTTGAACTTCATCATAGAGGCGGGTTCTTGCTGCCGCTGCTGCCCCGGCCGCCGCCACCCCGCCGGGCGGTGGGGTCGAGAGCGAGTCGGGGCGCAGGGAAGCGAGGAGGCGGCGCGGGGAAGGGCAGCGAGGCCGGGTCAGTCCCGGAGCAGACGACCGCTCCGACGCGGAGCACAGCGCGAGCGTCGGTCACTGGAGCCCGGGTGCCGGTGGAAGCGCCGCCTCTGCCCGGGCGTCCACCGCTCTCCATCGAGCCCGCCGCACGCTCGCCTCTGAGCCCGCCGCACGCTCGCCTCTGCTCCCTCCTGCTGCCGCCTTCGCTGCCGGAGAAAGCGAGGATCCAGGCTCGCGCCACGAGGAGACAGTTGCTGGAACTGGTGCCAACTGGGCAGCAGCGCCGCTGCCCAGACATTTTTATCTTTCTTAAGCGGTAGGAGGAAACAAACCAGCGATATTTTTTTCTTCTTTATACAAATTTAAAAGGAGGTTTCTCTTAAAATGCTGTGTTGCCATGACACCTGGTTTCACCTGAAGCTAACTACTCTCAAACCTTGAGTTAACCAATACATTTCTTAATGGAAATGTTTGTTTTAAGATATGTTAAGTTACCCCAGACTCTCTAAGTTCCGCCAAATGGCCTAATTTACTTACTCAGATATTGTTCCCCTAATCTATGTAAACGAAGCTATTTGTTGGTAATCTGCCCTTCTACAAGATTCAAGTCAATCATTTTATGGCCAGGGATGAATTATCTGGTGCCATTCTAAATTCTAAGACATTCCTTTCTTTTCATTAACAGACTGTGAGTGACTATATAGCTTCCAGCTAAAGACAAGGAGGCGGGTATTCTTTCTGCCCCCTTCTGATGCCTATGTCAGAAGCTTTCTCTATCTCCTTTATACTTTAACAAAACTTTATTACACAAAATCTCTGAGCGATCCAGCCTCGTCTCTGGCCCCGGATTGAATTTGTCTCCTCTGGAGGCCAAGAATCCCGGCGTCTCATCATTCAGCAACAACCTTTCAGGAGAGGAAGTTGATGACAGAGGATGAGATGGTTGGATGGCATCACTGACTCAATGGACATGAGTTTGAGCAAGGTCTAAGAGTTGGTGATGGACAGGGAAGTCTGTTGTGCTGCAGTCCATGGAGTCAAAAAGAGTTGGACATGCCTGAGCAACTGATTGAATTGAGTTTATCCTCCTGGTGGTCACACAAAACACTAACATGCAAAGAGTTCTATCTGTCCCAGCCCTTCTCAGGTGGCTCAGTGTTAAAGAATTTGCTGGCCAGTCCAGGAAATGCAAGAGATACATGTTTCATCCCTTGGTCAGGAAAGTCCACTGGAGAAGGAAATGGCAACCCACTCCTGTATTCTTGCATGGAAAATCCAAGGACAGAGGAGCCTGGGGGAATATAGTTTCTCATGGGGCACTGAGAGTTGTACAAGACTAGGCAATTAAGCATGCGTTCGTGTGCGTGCGTGCACGCACACACACACACACACACACACACACACACTATCTGCTCCATTCTTATTCATCTAAATTGTGACAATAGTGGGAAATCTGCTTGTCATGGTGGGCATCATAGACAGCAGGTCACTAGGTTCCCCCATGTACTTTTCTCTGACTTCTTTATCATTTATAGATACTATTTGTTCTATTGACATTATTCCCAAAACAATCACTGACTTCCTTATGAGAAAAAGACTATTTCCTTCCAGTCTTATATGACTCAAGTCTTTGTAGGTCATTTATTTGCTGGTGCAGAAGTCATTCTTCTGGTGTCGGTGGTCTATGACTGATACGTAGCCATCTGTAAACCTCTTCATTATTTGATCATCATGAATTGGAGGGTGTGTGTTCTCATGCTGCTGGTGTCCTGGACTGTTGGTTTTCTGCACTCATTGCTTCAATTTCTCTTCATTTGTCATCTCCCTTTCTGTGGCCCCAATGTCACTGACAACTTCCTGTGTGGCATGTTCCCTTTAATGAAGTTGCTTGCACTGATAGCAACCTCATTGGATTATGATAGCTAATGGTGGAGCAACTTGTACTGTTGTCTTCTTCATTCTCTTAGTGTCCTATGGAGTCATGTTATCTTCCCTGAAGACTCATGGTTTGGAAGGGAATCACAAAGCCTTCTACACCTGTGCATCCCATATGATGGTGGTCATTTTCTTTTTTGTTCCCTGTATCTTTATGTATGCAAGGCCTAATGTCAACTTTCCCATCGGTAAATCCATAGTAATGGCTTTAACTTTCATATCCCCATGGTGAGTCCCTTAATCTACACCCTGAAAAATGCAGAAATGAGAAATGTTATGAGGAGACTCTGGGGTAAAAATATGACCTTAGTTGGAAGAGGGCTGTTTCTATCGTAGAAGTCATGATATTCATTCATTCTTTCACAGAATCAAGGAATAGTTAAGCTATCAAGGATTGCATTTAAAAATTTATCTCCTGTGGGTTCGGTTCAGTTCAGTTGCTCAGTAGTGTCTGACTCTGCAGCCCCATGGACTGCAGCATGCCAGGCTTCCCTGTCCATCACGAACTCCTGGAGTTTACTCAAACTCATGTCCATCGTTTCAGTGATGCCATCCAACCATCTCATCCTCTGTTGTCCCCTTCTCCTCCTGCCCTCAATCTTTCCCAGCATCAAGGTCTTTTGCAATGAATTGGTTCTTTGGATTAGGTGGCCAAAGTATTGGAGCTTCAGCTTCAGCATCAGTCTGTTCAATGAACATTCATTGAATATTCATCCTCCTTTAGGATGGACTGGTTGGATCTCCTTGCAGTCCAAGGGACTCTCAAGAGTCTTCTCCAACACCATAGTTCAAAAACATCAATTCTTCAGTGCTCATCTTTCTTTATAGTCCAACTCTCACATCCATACATGACTACTGGAGAAACCATAGCTTTGACTAGAGGAACATTTGTTGGTTTGTTGGTAAAGAAATGCCTCTGCTTTTTAATATGCTGTATAGGTTTGTCATAGCTTTTCTTCCAAGGAGCAAACTTCTTTTAATTTCACAGCTGCAGTCACCATCTGCAGTGATTTTGGAGCCCCCCAAAATAAAGTCTCTCAGTGTTTCCATTGTTTCTCCACCTATTTGCCTTGAAGTGGTGGGACCAGATGCCATGATCTTTGTATTCTGAATGTTGAGTTTGAAGCCAACTTTTTCACTCTCCTCTTTCACTTTCATCAAAAGGCTCTTCAGTTCTTCTTTGTTTTCTGCCATAAGGGTGCTGTCAACTGCATATCTGAGGTTATTGATATTTCTCCCAGCAATCCTGACTGCAGCTTGTACTTCATAAAGTCCAGCATGAAATATTCTGCATATAAGTTAAATAAGCAGAATGAGAGTATACAGCTTTGAAGTATTTCTTTCCTAATTTGGAACCACTCCGTTGTTCCATGTCTTGTTCTAACTGTTGCTTCTTGACCTGCATATAGATTTCTCAGGAAGCAGGTAAGGTGGTCTGGTATTCCTTTCTCTTTAAGACTTTTCTACAGTTTGTGATGATCCATGCAGTCAAAGGCTTTGGTGTAGTCAATAAAGCAGAAGTAGATGTTTTTCTGGACCGTAGGGCTATGATCTTTAGGGTTGCAAAGAGTCAGACATGACTGTAGGCACTTAGCATGCAACAACCCTCAGTCAGCTTTCTGATCAGGGGAGTACAGTGGTGTTCTTGCACCCAGGAGTGAGCTTTAGCTTAGAACATACTTCAAGAAATTTTCAGAAAGATTTGAGTGTTTCTATTTGCCCAGAGAACAACTAACCAGCTAAGTGGTCTCAGGTTCCTCAAACAAAGTTTAGGTTGAAGATCTATGCCACTTTTTTGTGGTTTTATAACAGAGCTCTTATTCAAAAATACCTGATGTCTGCTTTATTCAAAAATCTCTGTCTTTGAAAGTTATCCACATCTGATGATCTGGTGAGGTGCCATGATTTTTTTCTTTCCTGAATTGATCTGGTCATTCAATTCAGTCCACTGTACTCTAAAACTGGATTATGAATTATCATCGTATTAGCTAGCTTGGGATGCCATAACACAATACCATAGCCTGTGTAGTTTAAACAACTGACATTACTTTTTTTACTGTTCTGGATGCTGGAAATCTCAGATCAATGTGACTGCAACATTCATTTCTGGTGAGGCTTCTTTTCCCAGCTTGCAGATGGCCACCTTCTCACTCTGTCCTCACCAATCCTTTCCTCTAAGCAAACTGATGTTTGCTTAGTTACCAAGCTCTGGTGTTTGTCCATTTCTCATTAGAATGCCAGTTCTACTGGCATAGGGCCTTACTCTTAAGATATCAAGGAATACCGGCTATTCCAATCTCCATTATCCAGGGCTTTCCAGTCTATATGCCAGGAATATGAATGAAAACACTTTTAAGGTGTGTCAGCTTCAGTTAATTTCTATCTGAAACCTCATGAGAGATGCTGAACCTGAAGTACCCAACTGATCTGATCCAATTCCAGGCCCACTATGATCATCTTTAATGATAAAGTGAATATTGGTGTTTTAAACCACTAAATTATGGGATGAAATATCTTTTTAACATAGCAATGGTATCTGAAACACAGCAATAATTTAAATACTATAGTATTGGCTCATGGACAGATACACTAACTGAAAAAAAATAGAAAGCTAAGGAATAGAATAATAGATAAATGCATTTTATATGTGAAGACAGTGCTATTTGATAGTAATTGGAAACAGAATTATTACACAATAAAGGAGTTGAGAAAATATATTTCTCCTTTTAGTAAGAAGGGGAAGTGTTCTTCCATCTCCCACCATACCTGAAAATGTATATATTTGTGGTTTAAAGATATAAATTGTAAAGTAAAATTTTCAAAAATTTTAAAAGATATTATCATTATACTCACAGCAGGGAAGGATTGTGGCATGTCCCATTGAGTGATATTTTTTTCCTGAGTCCAAGATAATAGCATATATGGTGAATCCTTCATCCTTATCATGCTCAATGTAGTATCCAGG